GGGGGGGGGGGAGCAGCCCATGGTGCAGCCAGAGGCCCGGCCTCGGCTCCAGCGGCCTTGCCTGCCGGGTCCAGGGAACAGGCGCAGGTCTATTTTGCCAGGAAATAAATCTGTTCTGTCCCTTGGTTCGGTTCTCGGGGGAACGGCCCTGGAGTTGTGTGCCTGGAGTCTTCCCAGAAGGTTAATTCGGGGCACCGGAAGATTCTTCTTTACCCTTTCTAGTTGAGCAGGGAGGAGTCTTTGCTGTTTAAGGTAGAACAAAGTTGTAACGTTCCAGAATGGTTTGTGGAGCGTCGTTGGCCCGGAGCCTCTCGGCATTGCCTTTTTCAGGAGAGCGGGGCTCCCGCTCTGCCGAGGGCACTCGGGCCAGCCCACGCCGGGCTTCACACCGATGGGAGGCCGCCACCCTGGAATCGGGGGGATCCTGTCATCCTCATCAAGGTGCCAACCGGAAAGCAGCGGCCCTGGTCCCGCCGAGCTCGGGCGCAGGGGACGCCAACAGGCTCGGCTGGGCGGGCAGGCGGCCTCGCCCCTCCCTGCCCTCCCCGCGTGAGGCCCCCACGCTCACATTGGGCTCGGCAGGCTGGCTCCAGCTCTAAGGGAAGAGGAGGCCCCTGGCTGCGGGCCCATCGGAGCTCTCGGGGTTCTGGCAACGGCAAGGGGCCCGGACGCGGGCACCTACTGGTCCTCCTTCCCGCTGCCTTCGCGCTTCTGTTTGCTTTCCAAGTGGCTACAACCGCCACTTGAGCCCCCTCAGGGGCAGGTGGTGTCACTGCAGTTGCAGAGGTGAACGGCCGGCCGGCTGGAGAGCAACAAATTAGGGAGGGGAGGAGGGACCAGGCTGCACGCGGAAGGGGCTGAATTTCCCTCCGTTACCGGCAGGCCCGGGGCTTCGAGACCCTGCCTTAACTTACGGCCTGAGAGTAGGTGCCGGGGGCCGTCCCTCTGTGATGGGCACGCTCTGGCCACAGGGGTCCGGAGAGGAGCAGTCCTCGGGGGGTCTCGAGGACGCAGCGACAATCTCCTCGCTCCGTTCTGCACACTCGCCTCGTCTCCTAGCTCGTGTTTCCCACGTTACCGTGAGGCCTTTTGGGCCACCTCATGAGGTTCTCGGGTCAATTCTGTGACTGCAGACAGGCTCCGTCCCTGTGACGCCGCTCAGAAACCGGGGGCTCTGGGGTGAGAGAGGAACCGGGCCTCTCCGGTCTCGGCACGAAGCAGGATTCCTCTTCTCCCTCCCCTGCCGACAGCAAAGTACAGTGGCAAGATCCATGTACGTACGTACGTACGTGTATGTATATATGTGTGTGTGTGTATAGGTGTGTATATGTGTGTGCAGGGGCTGAGGCAGGAGCTTCAGGAAGGGGTGGCAGGGAAGAGGGCCGGGGACCAAAGTTAGGAGGCCCCGAAAGTCTCAGGCTTCCGGGGGGCTGAGGAGGGGAAGTGCAGGGACAAGAAGCAAGAAGCCACGGCCCAGGAGGAGGACCGGGGCGGTGTGGAGTCCCGACGAGGCCTGGAAGGAGGACTGGTCCCTTAAATGCCACTTCGGGCCCCTGGCTGCGCAGGTGGTGCTGGGGGCGGGAGGGAGGGGCGAGGACTCCCCGCGGCCAGGCCACCGACGGAGGAGGAAAAGCCAGACATGGCTTCTCAGCTCCACCCCACACCCTCGTGATCCCCTCCAGGAGAGGGAAGGCAGTTCAATTCCCACCCATGGGGACAACCGCCAGCAACAGGGCGCGATCCACTCTATAAACCAAACAGCACAGTTCAGACCTTCCGTTTTTATTACAGAAATCGAAACAAAAATTGAAGAGCATATTTATTGTAAGATCTTTCACTGTCAAGAACTCAGATAATCAGATGAGAATCTAGGACATCTCCGACGTGGAAGAGCTTCCTTCTTCAGCTTAGTGGCGGTCCCCACAATGGGACCACGTGTCTGAGGCATCCCTGTCCCCCAGGTAACCGCTATTCTGATTTTTGCAGCAATCCAATCACTTCCTTGCTCTTGTTTTTACCATCCATCCACGCGTGACTTCCTCGGAACAGTCTGCCCTTTCGTTCCGCCAACGAAGCCGCGCAGCATCTGTGACTTGCTTCTCGCAATCGTGCTGGCAACGCACACCTACTGCCGCGAGGCTGCAGCGAGGCCGTTCTCGTGTGTGAACACGGCGACCACGGGACACACGGCTGCCTGCCACGCAGCGCTCTGCCAAGCCACGATGGCGCGGCGCGAAAGAAACCTCATCAATACTGATCCTACTCGTCTCTAAAATCTTGGCATTTTGTCGGTCATGCGTTCCCCGCCCTATATTTTCGATTCTTCCGAATGGCTATCAGTCCCTCCTTTTCACACTGACCTCCAGCGCTACCTCTGAAGCACGGTTCGTGGTCTACAGATCACACTTGTCCCGTGTTCTGTCTGCCTCTGTGCCAGCATGCGATCCCTGTCTCCACCCTTACACTGAGGCCGTGACCGCGGACACAGCGAGTCTTCCCTCTCACTCTTCACCTGTGTCTTGGCTTTTTTTGGCCCTTTGTACTTCTAAATACATTGTAGAACCACCTGGCTGAATTAGATTAACTTTCCATTTTTTAAGTAGAACTTCAAAACCATAATGATGTCAAAGCTCTGAAGATGTTTTCTGATTTTAAGAGTTTCTCTAAGTGAGACCCCCTGCTGTGGTACCTTATGTTAAGCTGCTTGCAATACTGGCCTGATTCTGTCACGAACTGGAAGGAACCTGAAACCAACCACCTCACCAGGTATGGGATTTCCTCTCCAATCCCAATCGCATTTTAGACCACAGTGGCTTTCACAGAAGTTCAACAAAGAGGAAGTGAAATGTTTATCTAACAGCCATGATCTTAAATGAAGACGCACGGGAACTCAGAAACAGCTGTCCCTAAGCACAAAACCCTTTCACTCTTTTTAAAGACCAGAACACAAGTCTTTACAGGTCCACAGACTCCGCCCTGAAGGATGAACTAAGCTTGTCAGACCTACCGCCAGGACGACAGGATTCCCTGGCAGACAAGTGAAAGAAGGGCTCACTCTGGTCTCTCCGATTATGTTCAGATAAACATCAACACTTAAACCACCTTCATTTTTCAGTTCAAAGTGGAGTTGAAGGAACTCCCCTCTCCCCATGAGTCACAATTACGTGAGGGTGCTTGAAATCCAAATCCAGGTAGTTAATTCATTATTACCTTCGTGGGCAGGAACCATTTGATGGTAATTGGAGTGGGGGAAGCCTAGCTTATCTGGCTTTCAGTTTTGTTCTGTGTAGCCCAGACTCCATCCCATGGCTCTGAACGGAGGTTTCTGGTGCAGTTTAGCCCAGGACCAAAGGAACCTGGCACATGATCCCATCCGGAGGTAAGGCGCTCTATTTCACTAAAACTTAAAATTATTTCACCATGTGTGTTTTCCTCAGGATGAAGCTGAATAAGCTGATAAATATCCTCACAAACCATTCAATGACAAGGAAAAAAAGGCTGACACAGTCGAATGAATTAAAAGTTTAATTCTGAACCATTTTTATAACCGCATTTTCTCTTGAAGCATTGTATCACAGCAGGTTACAACAACTTTGGGATAAAAGGCAAATGGTAAACTGTCCAAAACAAGGTTCCAAATAACACCTCTTACTGATTTACCCTACCCATACATATCCCAAATAAAGTTTTTGATCAAAAACATGAAATAGATCCACCTGCTTATTTTAAGCATATTAAAAAGGAAACTAATTGGACCATTTCTATTTGTCTATTTTATACAAAAAGGCTACACAATGTTACACTTTATTCAGATTACAATTAGAGTGATTATGAATTAGTGTTCTACACCATTACTCAATTCTTAAAAATTAGAAATTGCTGTAGCAGTATTCACTATAACTTAACACTACGAGAGACTTAAAAAACTAACAGTTACTGCAAAAAAAAATTAAAGAGCTACTTCAAAGCAAGCAAAGTCAGTACCATTACAGATATTTAAAAAAAAAAAAAAAATTGAACAAGCAAGGCTAGAGTTTGATAAATTCCATATCTTGTGATCCATTCTTGTGCATTCTTCACTTCTTGAGTCACTCCCAAAATCCATTTGTATTGTTACTCCTCGACCAAAAAGGACCAGAACAAAAAGTTTACTTCAATTGTTCCCATAGGAAACTCAGCTTGGTTAGTGTGTCAGGCACTTTCTGAGATACCAGCCCACCCCTCGAGCCCTCTCAGCAACTCTACAGGCCAATCACAATGCAAGTTCAGACAATACAGCTGTATAGAGAGAGAAAGGCTGCTATTAATGTTTAAAACAGCAAATGTTACTCATTTGAGTATTAAGTTGCAAAGCTGTGGCAAAAAACATTAAAGTTAATAACTTCCACACATGACCACTTAACAACCAGAAATCTGAGAACATTCAAATGTTCCAAGACATCTCCTTTCAAAGTACGTATCTGTTTCTGTAGCAGATTTACAAATAGGCCTAAACCACTCCCACCCTACCAACCAAGTCTCTCTGAAGTTCTGTAGGCAGAGTAAAAGTATTTTACCCAAACTGGCTTTTTTTAACTTCTTACCTAAAGGATGATTTACAGGTCAGTATCAAACCAGGCCAGCTGATTGCTGTCGCCTGGAGGCAGCCCATCCATGAGGTCCTGGGCGTGCCCCAGATCTGGCAGCCCATCAACTGGATAGTCAGCACCAGGGTGGTGGCCACCCATCTCGTGCTCCATCATGGGGTCCATACCCAAGGCATCCTGGCCATATCCACCAGAGTGAAAGGAACGGTAGCTGGGATCTACAGGAGTCGGGGTGGGGGGTGGCAACAAAAGGGGCAAGGGACACAGAGAAAGAGGAGACAGACATTAACGTTAACACTGAAGCCTGGGCCTTCGATGTCCGCGAGCTGGTCAGAAAGCAGGCCTTTCTAGCCTCTTCAGCTTCTTCAACCAAGTAATTACTCAGTGCCAGGCCACCCACGGGGCTATAAAGTCTGTTTCCACCAGAGGCAGACCAGCAAGTTCTAACCACACCATCAGCTTACCACGGAACATTCTGTGTTTGCCTAGGCGGAGACATAAAACCCCTGAGGGGGACAGCCAGCAGTCTACTACTGCGCATGTGACCGCCCAGTATCAAGAAGTCACAGGCAAGAGATGAAAGCAAAAGCCAGGAGGTCTGGCGGATGTAATCTACCTGTTGAAAAGTCCAGTGAAACAGAAGTACTGTGAAAACTCAAGCTGTTGTTTCCAGTGAAACTTTTACATTAAGGGCTGACATTACAGATCTGCCAACAGAAGATGCCTATGAGCTTTAGTGGTCTAATAATTAGGAAAAGCCAGATGAGATAATAAATACAAGGTGAAGAGCTGTATTTACTCGCGGTGTCTGCCACACTCCATCTCCATTACCCAGATTTGAATGAGTTTTCTGGAAAACCCCCACACTAGAATGATGTAGACCCACCCCAGATCTGAACCTGGGGCCACAGTTCCCTCTACTCTCGCTTCCTGGGTGGGCTGTATGGATGTACAGATTCTCTGGCAAAAAAAAAGCACGTACAAAGGCAACCTGTGATATGTGTCACTAGTACTGGGCGTCTGCAGTACAGGCTATTTGTTAATGTCGTCTGCTCGTTGTGGGGCTCAAAATTCCCCAGGCTCTGAGAAAGATACCGCTGCCGACTCTGGAATTTCAGAAGTGCCTTTAACTGCTGCCACTACTTTCCTGCCAACGCTGGTTTCCCAGATGAGCAAACCAGCTTTTCTGATAAAGCTTAACTTGAACCTTAACTTGACCTGGAGTCAATCGGAAATAAGAGACACATACCATCCTGACGATATCCAAGGGGCTCTCCCTGGGCACCAATATCAAGTCCAAGATCAGCAGTCTAGATAAACAGGTACAAGGCAAGGAAGCAAAATGAAAATTCTGAACTTAGGTATAGTAATATTTTGAGAACACACTTATTTTCACATTATAGAAGGAACAAAGAACGCACAGAAATACTTGAAACTCTACCCTCAAAGATTAACTACCGACACCTAAAGCAGCATGTTTTGTCATTGCACACAGCATTAAAAATAGTCACTAGTTTATTCTTTCAAGCAAATATAACCGTAAACACAATCGTCAAAGTGTCTACCCCCAAGAGGAGTTGCTGACAAACAGAATATTCTACATGAAAGAAGATTTTTAGCTTGAACAGCTGGAAGGAGACTATGAGAGGAACAGGCTTGGGGAAGTTCAGAGCTCAAGCTGGAACACGTTAAGACTGCCCGTTAAAAGCCCAACTGACAAATTACTCACTGTTTGGCAATCTGCTTTTTTCTTCTCTTTTCTTTTTTTGTAACCTAACAATCTATAGGCTCTCTTTCCATTCTTATAATCCACTGTACAACTATGTAACATCACTGAATGAACTTCCAGGGTGGTTCTAATGTTTTAAGAACACCTCTGTAATGAGGCCGAATGCTGAAGACAAATTCACAGAAAGAGAATCAATACATTAACCTCCAACTACAGTATTTAAGAGGGTGCCTCTTTCCTTAAAAGGAAAAAATTCCCTTTTGAAAAAGATACTTTAGCCGGATAACTTTTTCATCCGTCTCCCTCACGAATTCTAATGTCAATAAGCAGTATGACTTGTTTGTTCTGAATAGGCCGTTTCAAGCTGTGGTTCTTCCTCAGCAGCTGCTAAGGCAGCGGAGAGAACGAATATTCAAGCCAAGGACACAGTCAAGGCAAATAAACGTGTACAAGTATTTGGAGGGGAAGCCACACGCTACCGAAGAAACGCGTCCACACGGCCTACCTCATTCCAAGCCATTGGCTCCGTTCTGAAGAGAGAACTGGTCAGCTCCACCGAGAGCCGCTTCTTGTAGTCCTGGGGCTTGTCCTCAGACATTCGGAACAAAACAGCAGCTGCGTATGTTGCTGGGAGAGGAAAAAAGGCCCCTGAGGAAAAGCTGAGGCTTTCTGGTGTGCACCGGCTAAAGGTTCTGGTTCCGTTTCGACTTACCCACACCTTCGTTTCTGGAGTGAAGGAGCTCTGTCAGAGGAGCCGTGGCTCCCTCCGCTTCAATGGCTTCCGCAGCCTCCTTGTCCTGAGCAAGTTCACAGAGGACCCCTGCGGCTACTCTTTGGATATTTTCAATGGGAGAATAAAGCAGCTGGGGAGAAAAACACAAACAAATCCGAATTAAATCTAAAGAAAAAACACGGCAGGCACCCCACCGGGGCGCAAGTATTCCCAATTCAGAGAGAAGATGGCCTTTGCGCTACTGGTGTTAAATCCTATTCTCTAACTTCCTGTCCTCAGGCAGCTGGTTGATGCTCTGGAGCACTGGTTTTCTAGAGCAATTTCAGCCTCAAACTCTCTTCTCCAAACTCCTGGATTGGGCGATCCAGGAGGTAGCTGGACGCCTGTGCTCTGGCAACTGTGACCGGCTCTCCTCCCTCCAAACCTCAGCACCCCTGAAGTGGAGTATGAAGTCTCTCTCTTCTCCAGGCTCTAGTCCCAGTGTTTCCCCTACTACCCAAGAAAAACAAAGGGACTTTTAATAAAATAAAATGCACTCAACCGAAAGGACACTACACACTGAGATTCCAATTGTCATGCTCTGGCAAGGGGCATGAACAGAGCATGTTGTCATTTTGGAACTGGAGATAGTAGAGGAAAAACTGCCCCTAACTTGCTCCCTAATTTTCCGAAATTTTATGGACACATAAAATCTAGACTGCCTCACATAAAACCAACATACCTGCACAAACAATGGAATGGTATTTAGTCCTCTGATTACGATTCGGTTGTGAACATCCCGAGCTAGGATATGAAGGGCTCCGGTACAACCTTCAACAATTTCTTCCATACGGACTCCCTCCTACCAAAAGAAACATGGTTAACAAACAGGGCATTCTCATCTCTAAAGTTTATAAACTTCAAAGGCTTTCTGTTCCGAGTCACAATTCCTAAGCTGATTATTCACAGTATACACCCAAAGTTCCCCAGAATTTGCAATTAGTCTAGGAATGAAGGAGGATTCCAAGAAGTTGAACGTCACTGGGGGGGAGGGGGCTCCTGATGGCACTAATTCCAAGTTGTACCCCTCCCCGCAAACACATACAACACACAGGAATTACAGCTTCGATGTACTCCGACAGTCAAGACACCAACTTTAGGTAAAAGGAATACATAAAGATACACAAAGATGGGAAAGTAATGTGCAGACTGACAAATGCTTTTCTTCCACATGCTCCCTCTATTTTTGTATATCTATGTGTATTTCATGAAAACCTAGCAAAGTTTTGTCACCAACTGCTAAAATTCTATTGAGCTGTCAAGTGGAAAATCCACTCCTCACCACCTCTAAGACTATCTGACTGGTAGTCTTAAAGAAGGAAGTTAGCCTTTGCAAAATGTTAAGTACTGTTTCCGTTTCTGAGTTTTAAAAAAGGTTAGAATTCGGCTTTCATAAACAACTTGATTTTTATAAAAACACAAGATACTCCTTTCTTCCTAGAGAAAAGATGTAAAATAAAAGGTACCTTTTGCATTCTTTTAAGCCACCTCATGGAGACAGGCCAATACCAAAAGTAATGAATGGAGAAAGCCGAAGCCCAGTAATGAGTGCATACACATAACAACTACCGATAAGAGATTCCCAAAATCTGTGCTGGTAGGCTCTTGTTTTCTAAAGTGACCTAATTAAATAAGAGAAAGCTCTTTGAAGGCTTGAATCTTAAAATAAATTCTGAGGAATAAATTCTACAGTGTCTTCAGATACTTGTAACAAAGCTAGTTTTTAAAGACTGCAAACCTGACATGTAAAGCTTTAGGTTGAGCTTATGGGTAAATGCTACTACTACTTCTTGAAGTTTCTTAGTATTCTTAGGTCTGTGAAAACAGTTTAAACCATCCCTGAAAGAGACGGTAAAAGGTATGTTAAATATTTACAGGCAAAACTCATGTTACAATGGGGAATAAGAGGCTCTGAAATCAGATGGACTTGGATTCAAACTATGGTTCTGCTACTTCCTAAGAAGGTGACCCTTTGTATGCATTAAATGAAAACACTGCAAGAAGCACCTAACCCCACAGCAGTACACCACACCCTGCTCTCTTTGTAAGACTGACGATGCAAGGAGAGGTCAAAGGCAACAGCACTAGGGGCCACATTATTCCTGATCTTCTCTGCAGCCAGGGACAGGTCACAGTTTTTTTAAATCCTTAGCAAACAGCCCCTCAGGCTAGAAGATCAAGGGAACCAATGACCAAAGAAGTTCAGGATCCCATGAATTTATGCATTCCTTTTAAATAGCCGGGTGTCACCGCTAAGATTTACCTACCACAAACTGCTGCTGCGTTCCGCCCATAGATGTGCGGCGCTGGGTATCCTGATGGGCACGAACCAGCAACTGAACTAGTCGTGGAATGGCACCCTGTTCACGGAGAGGTGCGTGATTTGCTGGACAAAGGGCAAGGTTTCGAATCAATCCAACGGTGGCCTGTAGATAAGAAGAATAAAGAGCGGTCGTGTAACTCAACAAAATCATTTTCTTAGCCTAAAATTCCCACCACACTAAATCTATTGGGATCACCTGAAAGTAGCACAGACTTCACAAACACTTCGGAAGCCCACCCCGGCCACACTTCCTATTTACTAAGGAATAGGATTCGTACTTGTTAATCCCTCATGCCTAGACAACCATCCAATAGCTAGAGGTGGTTCATGTCCAATTCTGCAACCTACTTTTGTGACAGACAGTTTACCTTTATCAGAGGCCAATGGGATGGTGGGTGCAGGAGTTTAACCACAACCGGTAGTCCATAGTGAAGACGAACAGCATTCTGGGCCATCTCTGCTTCCTGGTGTCGACTGGTCAGATGACGAAGAGCACAGATGGCAGGCTCGGTGATGTCCTCCCTGTCACCAGCACGAAGGACAGTACGCACAAGTGCCTCTATACCACCCACTTGGCAGACCATCATCTTATTCTTATAATTATTGCAAGTGAGATTAGAAAGAATTCCAGCTGCACAGGTGACCACATTTATATCATCTGAGCCCAGAAGCTGAACAAGGGTCCCAAGAAGACCTTCCATCCCTTCCTATGGACATAAAAACAAATGCTCAGTACATATTCATCTTAATTCTATCACCAAGGCACTGGCATATTCAAAATTTACCTGTTTAGTCGCAGCATCTGATAGATTCCTAAGAGTCCAAAGACAGTTCTGAACGAGACGCTGACTTGGATCTGTCAGGTGAAGCCCTAAAGCTTGCATTCCACCTAGAATATGAAAAAAGATCTAAGGCAATGGCCATTAGCTGGCAATTCCTATCAGCACTAAGTGTCGTTTCTAGTCTTAGAGGGTGTCCCTCTTCACTGCCAAACCTTAGCCCCTCTAAGTCCTTTATTTATTTTCATTTGTTAGGATGGTGCTCAGTTTCCCCTTCTTTTCCCATTCACCTCAACTAGTGGTAACTTCTGTCAAATACCCAATGTGGAAAAAGCCTTCCCTATCTCCACTCTCCTCCTTATGTAATTTTACTTTCGTCCATTCAATCATCTCAAAAATATCCACCTAAATAAAATCAGACCATTTTGAGCTGGAGCTGTACCAGTGAGCAAAATATTGCATGGCCCCTTCTCTCATAGAGCTCATTCATGGTCTAGCTGGAGGCAGACAATAAACAAATATACAATTAATAAGCTGAAACTACACAGTGTGTCAGATGGTGCCAAGTGCTATCAGGAAGAAAACCCCACAAGTGTCGGGGGGGGTGCCCTACAATTTCAAGTAGGGTAATTAGGTCACCTCAGTGTGAAGGTGACATCTGCGCAAAAATACGGAGGAGGACCAATCCTAAAAGGTACTGGAACTCCACAGTTTATTACCAGGAACCGTATGAAAATGACGGACTCCAAACCGTGTGACCCAACGGTTCATAACCTTCTGCCATTCAGGACCCTAAGGAAGAGCATTTGTACTGGCGGTGGCAAGAAAACGGACGCTCAAGTCCTCACTCACTGGCTTAACTTCACCCATCTCTCTCCTACTGAAATCCCTTCTGAATGTAGTGAGATACTTTCCCTCGTCTCCTTGTTCATCTCTTCAGGTCTGCTTTATTTTACATTTTAGGTAGGCTCCACACCCAGGGTGGGGCCTGAACCCATGACCTGGAGATCAAGAGTCGCATGCTCTACTGCCAGCCAGCCAGGTGCCCCTTTTCGTGTCTCTCTTAAAATTAAGTCTACCTCCCCTAGGAGACAAGCATCATCCCTATCTGGCTGCTTCCTCCTAGCAGCTCCAGCTACTAACAGAGACCTGCACACGGCTGATGCTCAAGATCTGCTCCATGCCTAGATCCCCCTCCTCGACCTTCTCTCCTTCACAGGTTTCATTCCCTCCCTTTACTATTCACACGAACAGGGTGGATTTGACCCCAAACGTCTCATCAGAATACCCCGCAGACTTCAAAAACACGGAGACCTGCTCATTCGGCAAGTCTCCGGTAAGAGTCCACGCAGATGACTTTAAGGCATGCCCCCTCTTCCCCCCCTACACTGAGAGATCAACTCCCAAATCTCTAGCCCCGTCTCCCCCTGCATCTCTGTGCCATACATAATCCAGCTACCTACTGGCCTTTCAGTCACTCTATCTCAGCTTCTTAAATTACCTTGTTCCAAAAATTAACCAATTCATTCTGGTAGCTCCATTTAGGATGTTCTCCCCACCACAAATCACTTCTGGTTGCCCTTTAGCCCCCAAGTTATTACATTTATGGGTGCTATCAGAAGCCTCAAAACAGTCATCCTTTCTATTTTTCATACCAAAACAGAAGTTTGTAACACAGCTCGGTGGCCTGATCTGCTTGCTTTTGGTCAAACTGTCATACATTGTTAATATTAATAATCCAAACACCTCACTGTGATGTGATGCCACTGCTTAACAGCCACTAATAACTTCTCATTATCTCTAAGACAAAGGCCAAATTCTTCAGCATAACCTTAAGGAACCCTTTAGAATTTGGATCCCACCTAGCACTGCAAACTGACCTACATCTGTGGCTCTAAAGCTAGGAAAAAAACAAACCATGAATAAACATACATGTTACAGGGGCCTAGAAATGTCTTGCAATATATGGCCCTTGCCTAGCCCATCAACCTCATCCTGGGTCCTGGGCTACTCATCCATTATTCATTAAATTCAAGTTACACTTCCTCTTTAGCACTTAGAACTCAACAATCTCTTTCTTACCATCAGGACATAGCATAGGGTTCTTTTCTCTCCCCGGAAAACATCTAATCCCCACTTCTCATATGGCTAATAGGGTACCTTCTGGTCCTGCAATCTCATTTTACAACCCTTTCTCACAGAAGCTCCTCTCTCCCCTTTAATTCTGATCACTACTTACTGTTCCTTTCTTCTCTGATACTCGTTCTAAGCTGTTAATGCCCCCATTTTTTGCATATTTTTGTCACCCTCAACAGAATGGAAGAATAAACATAGGGACCATATCTGCTTAGTTATCCAGTATATACCACGTGCTTATTCCAGTGCTTAAGACATAGGTGCTGAATGTTTTCAGAACGCACAAGTGAACATCAGAATAACCTGGCTAACTTTTTAAAATAATGACCTTGTCATTCCACTCCAAGGATTCTGATTAAGTCCAAAACTCTGCATTTTCCTCAAGTACTCATATTTCTGGAACGGCTGGGCCAGAATTTCATCCCCTTATTCTAGATGAATCCAGCCACACCTGTCTGTCTCAGTGCCAGCCAGCTATCCTGGGCAACCATAATGCCCCTTTCTCCCACAAATTCTCAAATAAAACTACTCTCAACAAGTAAAAGAGGTGTTACTAACCCTACACTTCATTCCAGGTATTTTCTTCTATTAAATGCTTTCATATTTTTCCCCTTCCAGTTTTGATATGAAACTTGGTTTGAGAGTCCAGGTAGATACTGCTAAGTGTGTTACAGAAAGAACTGATGCTGGGTAATTGCAGAGTAACTGTATCCTCATGATAAAAAAACAAAAGACTGTGGCTGGTCCACCAATTCCTCTCCTTTGCTACCAACACGCACAACAGAAACTACCAAGTATTAGCCATCATTTTTGATGGGTAATAACAACTCTGCCTAAACTGGCCTAGGCTTAAACAGCACCAGTGCAGGTGTTAAGCAACACATACACTTTAAATGCGGTCTTGGCTGCAGACTGAATAGAACCGTCTAGTTTCAGCCCATTAAGGTCAAGTTGTATTACCCTTTTCCTAAAACAAGTAATCAAATTAGAACTGCCAGATGTTGCACACGAGACTGAGAATACTTACCGGCTTCTACAATAGCTGGTTTATTACTAGAGCAGACAGACAGCACCTTCAGTACTCTGCTTGTGGTCCACAGTAGTTTCTCGTAAGTGTAGGTCCTCATTATATTTACTAAAGCTTGAGGTCCACCACTAGCCAGAATGATCAGCTAGAAAGACACGTATATACTGTTAATCACAAAATTGTCATCATATGCCCAAGAAAACAACCAACCTATTTTTATTAAACAAGCATGTCAGCCAGCTTGCCACTGATCTAAATGTATTCCCAGACCCCATTATCCAGATTCCCACACTGGGGCCCCATTTACCCCCTCCTTCTACAGGATTCCACTCAAATTCAGGTATCCCAATACTTCCAAGAATAGATCAACTCTGCCCCAATTTTCTTCCTCCCACACTGATCAGAACAAAACAAAACAACAGAAACCACGCTGGTGTGCGACAGTAATGCCCAGATATTATTGTTGTATCAAAGCGGAGTTGTTAAAAATGTGAACCAGAATGGGCACTTAAAACTCCTAATCCTTTGGCTCTTGGCTGTTTTCACCTTAAAATGAGGTATCATCAAAAAATCATTCCTTCTTGCCCTTTACTTCCCTCCATATTCCCACCTCCAAACTATCCTGATTTTCTAAACACAAATCTCATCAGCTCATACCTTGCTAAAACTGACTGCATTTAGTCATTACTCTTTTAACATATTCTACAAGGTCCTGCAGGACCTGCCCTGCTGAGCTCAATAATCTCAACTCAAACCTTTCCTCTTCTTTACTATTGTTTCTAAGTTTATTTATTTTAAGGGACAGAGAAGAGAGCGAGCACATTCAAGTGGGAGATGGGCAGAGTGAGAGAGAATCCCAAGCAGGCCCCATGCTGTCAGCACAGAGCCCAACTCAGGGCTCAATCTCACGAACTAGGAGATCATGACCTGAGACGAAACCTAGAGTCAGACGCTTAACCAACTGAGCCACTTGGGTGCCCCTTCTTTACTCTTTGTATCTCTTGAATTTCCAAAACTCATCACTCTTCTCCCTCTGTAGGGCTTTCAAAGGTGCCATTTCCTCTAATCTTCACCTAGTCGATCTCTCCTCACCCTTAAGACCTGAACGCAACCTATCGCTTCCTCCAACAGGTCTCCCTGAACTTTCAAAACAGGGTTTGGTTCACTTATATGCTCTCATTGCTCCTTTACTTCCTCCAAACTCACGAGTTAAATAGTAATTACATCATTTCAGTGCCTATCTCCCACCTAAGAATGGAAGTTCTGAGAGGAGTTTGCCCACTATATCCCCAACACCTAGCTTAATACATACAAAAGTTTATAGAAAAAGAGATGTCCAACTTTTTTTTAAGGATACACACAAAGGGTGAGGCATACAAAGAATTTGCTAGAGTCCACAGAAGGACATGACATTGGGGTTCCCAATGCTCCATGACAACCACATTCAGAAAAATTCTTTTACCTTGCTTTCTTGGTTGCCGTAAGCTAAAATCTGAAGGCAGTCTGTCGTAATAGCCAAGAATTTAACATTTGTTTTGTTGAGCAAGGCAACCATTTTCTGCAGCCCACCAGCTAAACGCACTGCCATTTTAGCTCCTTCTTGATGCAATAAAAGGTTGTGGAGAGTTGTAATGGCATAAAATAATACAGAATCCACTGGTGACCTGGAAAGAAGAAAAAAGCCACATCAGAAATGCAGTGATGGCATTCTTCTCCTTCTTAGCTGTGAGCCTTCTGACCATGTTTTCTTACCCAAGCATCTTCACCAGGGCGGGAATGCCCCCAGACTTAAAGATGGCCAGCAAGCCCTCACGATGATGAGAAAGATTGTGCAAGGTGCCAGCAGTACAGCGAGCTGTCTCCACGTCGTTCGTATTCTGCATGGTGCGTACGATGGCAGACACCATCTGAGGAGAACGCATGATGGCGTGTCTGGAAGCTTCCTTTTTCGAAAGCTGATGGACCATAACTGCAGCCTTATTAACCACCACCTATAACGTACGGGAATTAAGAGACATCATTGGTTTTCAATACTGATACCGGATGGCTATTTTGAGGCTCCTTCCTGGAGAGTTTCCTTCAAAGCAGATCGCGAGCCAGCCTCGTCATTACTGACCTGGTCCTCATCGTTTAGCAGTTTTGTCAGTTCGGGGATTGCACGTGTGGCAAGTTCTGCATCATCTTGATAGTTAATCAAATTTACAACTGCGTGTTTCAGCATCTGTGATGGTTCAGCCAAACGCTGGACGTTAGTAGGGTGAGCAGCATCGAACTGTGTGGATGGGATCTGCATGCCCTCGTCTAAAGTCTCAGGGAACATAGCAGCTCGCACTCTCTGAGCTCGCGTCATCGCATACTGACCATCAATATCTGGAAAAGATAAATTCAACACCCGTTATTCCCAATTCAGCATTGTGCTGAACACGTGCTACACCAAACGTATTACCGAAATGTTACCTGAAGGTAACACTGCCACTGCCCCCCTTTCTTGACACCACTTAAACTGTTACACACCAACTTCTGTAAGAAGAATTCTCAAAACTGCATTCTGACTTTCAGTAAGGCAGTCATTTATCACCCTTACCAGCCACTTGTTCTTGAGTGAAGGACTGAGAAAACCCCTGTTCCCACTCGTACAGGACTTGGGTGGTATCCACATCCTCTTCCTCAGGATTGCCTTTACCACTCAGAGAAGGGGCTGTGGTGGTGGCGCCAGAATGGATTCCAGAGTCCAGGTAAGACTGTTGCTGCCAGTGACTGACAGCTGCTTTTCTGTCTGGCTCCATGGCCATGTCCAGTTCCATCAGATCAGCTAGAAAAATCCAACAGCATTCGCATTACTGCCAAGGAAATGTTATCTTCATTAAAAAATTTGGGATACGACCCACTGAAATATTGTTAGAAATAGTCAAATGTGGAAGACAGCCAAGAATAACAATGATAGCCAGGATTAGCTCAGTGAGGAAATATCTACACTCTTAGGGAACCACCTAACAGTTACTCACTGAATTAGTGGAAGAATGGTACTGCATCCAGGCTCCAGAAGCAGTCATCCAGACTAGATTCCTGCTGGTGGCTTGTTTGCTATTTCACCAAGCCATTAGGAGGAGTGAGCAGAAAATGGAGCAAAAGGTAGCCTGACAAGTAAGCAGGGAGAGAGTAAAGCAGGGGGATCTGAGCCAGACTGGGTTAATGGCAATGAAGCAGAGCCCCAATTCAGTAACTAAAGACTTGTGATACAAACCTTGGGTAGCCATTGCCCACACAGGATTTTCAAAACCGGTGTATGGTGTGCTTCAGATACCCTAAAAGAGTTAATCAAGTCATTAGGATTTAAAATTTGCTTGTTTTTAGTCTTTAAGCCACTACGATGGGCTGATAAATACTACGGACCACATCCATAAATAGCCGCAACCCCTCTTACCATGTGATCGTGAAACCCAAACCCCACGGTCTCCTCTATACACCTCAACCACAGCTCCATCATTGGTGAAAACTCCAAGTAAAAACTCCTCTTTAACAAGCACCTCTTTTTAAGTAGGAATACAAATTATAGTTATTCAGGATGTCAAAAAGCACAATTATTGATGCAGATGAAGAAAATTTATAGTGAAAGCCAAGGTGGGGAAAAAAAAGTATTCAAAATCAATTCCTCCTTGAGTTCCCAAAAGCGTTCTCCCTTTTTAACTTCTTTCACTGAAAAACTCGTAGATCTTTTTGGACAGTGGTTTTAAAAAAGACCATATTTTCATTAAATGGTTTTTCTTTACTGATACAATACAATGCCATATAAAATACCTTTATAAAGCAAATGGATCAGAACACTGGATTTTAGATCTTTTACTAAGAAGTAAAATTACTTTTCAAATGAAAGTTTGCAACACAAAAAGAATCTTTTTAGTAAATTTTTTCTAGTTCAAATTTATAGCAATGATGTATTATAAACAGAAGTATTACTCACTGGAGTAATGTTTTATCAGTATGAAAAAATCATATACATAAAAATCTTAGCATCTTTGCATTTTGGCTTTACTGTGTAACATTCAGGAAAACACTGAATCACATAGGAAACTAATTGCAAATGAGAACCGTTTGAAGGCTCATGGCCACTAGATATTCCTAATAACAAAACTTCCTTTACTACACAGTATTCCCCTAAACAAGTTTATCTTGCACTACAAATTAACATAATGGTTTACCAACACGTGAAGACATGGACTAAAATATTTATGTGTGACCTGTGTATTCTATCACCGTAAAACAGAGTTTAAATATGTTTAATGAAAGTTGGAAACTACAGTCTAAAGTCCTATTTGCTCTATGTAAAGGAAGCATGTGTTAATTATTCCTAAAATTGCTCTTCCAGTACTAGATTTTTATAACCACAAAGGTCACTTGACACGTAAAGATGACAAGAGCTGTGGATACAACTGTGTTAGTTCCACGGTAGAAACAACTGACAATCTTTGTACAAGGCAAAATGAAGGACAGAAAATGAAGGTGATTCCTGTCAATACGAATCTTTTAAGATACTAAGCAGGATTATGTGTGTTCAATGTTTTGATTCAATAGGACTAGAGTGGGGCATAGAAACCTGAATTTTTAATGAATATTCTAGGATGCACAAGCGATCTACAGACCACACTGAGAAACACCCAAGGTTTCTGTTCACTGATGCTGTGTTTTAGCTTCCATTTTTCCACCTCTCTGGAAACTGAGTTCTCCACTCCAGTTTCCAGTTTATTTCCGAGAAAGGCAACTTAAAACAAGTTCTACATTGGGCTCTTCCTTTGGCCAATGCCACAGGGCTCAGAAACCAACTAGTCACTATAATACACATACAAAATACGTGTAAATCAGCTGTATAGTTACTGGTAAGGCTTCTGGTCCAACAAAAAGCTACTACCAGTAGTTAAGTTTTTGGCAAGTCAAAAGTTATTCACAGATTTTTGACTGTGTAGGGGGTCAGTGTTGTTCAACGTTCAAGTGTACATGGCCTTCAAGGAAAAAAATATTTACAGTATTGTTTCCTTGTTGTTGATGCAAAGGCAAAATTTTAGCCATGTTACTGTGTAAAATCTGTTTATATGGGATGACCTGTAGTTTGACCACAATTTATAATGATTTTACGGAAAAAGCAAGTTCATACTCCAAACTTACAATATCTATTTGTATGTTGAGGATTCCTCAATACTATTATTTTTATATACTTTAAAATTTATGCAGCATACATAACAGTGAGTCTACAATCCTACGTCATAAAGGAGGCCAAGTATCAATCCAGCAGGTTGAGAAGTAAAAAATAGGAATGAAAATGGGGATCTACATAAGCAACAGTATATATCAACTCACCTCCTACATTACACTGCAGATGAATCCAAATTTACCAAAACTATGAGAACTATTCACTAAAGAAACTGAATATACTGTCCAAAGAAATCTAGGCCAGAGTCCTGCCCAAAAGGAAAGCCTTCCTCATTCTTCTTCTGGACAGAACTTTCAGCCCAAGGATTGGCTCCTTCCACTACACCCTGTCAATCATTAGGGGTCCAATCCTAAAGCTCCCAATCAACCAAAGCTTACCAAACACATCTGAAAAGCCTTCAAGAGCAAAGGAAAAAGTTCAAGAAAGAAGTAACAGAAAAAACGCGGACTCCAGAGAAACAAAGGATTTTAAAATAGGGGTAAGAGTGGGGGGAAGGAAACAGAATGTTTCAATTTACTACCCTCATAAAGATTGGAGATAATAAATTAAAAGCTCACTAGATAACCAAAGTTGAGAAAAACTCCTAGAACATAAAGGAGAAAGATATTCAAAATACAAAATAGAAGAAACAAGATGATCATCTAGGGGATCAGAGCGCCAACTAATAGGCATTTCAAAAAGAATTAGGAGAAACAAAAATGGGGAAAAGCCCATTAATACCAACTCAAGATAAAGGGAGGATAATGCTAACAAGTTATGAAGTACTAGAAGTTCCCAAATGCAGTGATCGCAAACTACAGATACATTAGGATGCTCTGTGTCCTGCCAGCTTCATCCCCACCAAGTGGTACTTTGACAAAGAAAGAGGGCTGCCAGGATCGCCAATTTATCCAGTTTAGTGAGGTAATGGACGCATGCACCCTTTTATTTTTTCTTTTTGTTAAACATATATTCTTTCCAGTTATATAATTTGTAAAGACCTCAAAATTTATCTTGCTACTTCTGATTTAAAATCTGTAAAGACTTAGAAAAAAATATACACTCTTTATATACAATAATTTCTATCTAGGTGAAAAGTTCATTCTGATCCATATCTTATCCAAAGTGTTACTATGAGTAATTTTTCCTTCAACTTTTTTAATAGGACTACTTAAGCATTCTAGGTTTTTCTTTTTTCTTATTAGGAAAATTTTCAAATATGCAGGAAAGTAGACACAACTGTATAATGAACACCCACATTACCTATACTTAACAACCGTTAACATCAGGTAGTATCTGTGCCCAACCACAGAATAATTTTAAAGTAAACTGTATACATTATTATTACTAGTAGTAGTTCATCAGGTGGCTATGAAAAGTAAGGATATTTTCTTGCATACCAAAACATTACTACAGAAGATCAGCCTTACTGGCTGCTACTCCATCCAGTTCACAATGAGTGAATTGGAGCCTCTACTTCACCCTGTGTACTTTAAATGGCCTTCTGGCAAAGTCGATGTGAGAATTCTTGACATGATAGAGGTCTCACGCTGAAGTTTACTTCTCCAGTTCCTATTAGGACAAATTATCTTAATTACCCTAGATTTCATAAAATTTGAGTATTACTAACTCGAGTAACTTTGCTATATAAAAATAAAGCAGATCTATTATAAAACCAGTTTTACACTGGCCATTCATGCTAACAATTCACTTTCCAATAACCTGTACTAAAGGAACAAAAACCAATCACTTACTCTGTTTTAAAGTAAGAAAACCCAACTCTATTTCAGGAGCATGATAAACTTATAAAAAAAATCCTCAAGGATTAAAAACATTTCTAAGTAAAATTTGTTTTGTAAATCTAAAAGCACATACATACGCATTTTTCTTGTCACTACTAATATCTTGCCATTCACAAAATTTATACTCTCCTCAAATCTTCTGTTTAGGCACTTTTCATTTATCACTAATGTTTTGTTTTTTTTTTTTTAACATTTATTTATTTTTGACAGAAAGAGAGCGTGAGCAGGGGAGGGGCAGAGAGAGGGAGACACAGAATCTGAAGCAGGTTCCAGGCTCTGAGCTGTCAGCACACAGCCCGGCTCAGGGCTTGAACCCACAAGCGGTTGAGATCATGACCAGAGCTGAAGTTGGACACTTAACCCACTGAGCCACCCAGGCGCCCCTTATCACTACCAGTTTTAAGTCACAACTCAATCTAGTTACTTTTCTACTTTTACTCCTCAGCTGTGTCTGTGTATATTCTGAGAGGAGTCTTCCCTACACTGGTCAATAGAATATAAATATCTAGTGACACTTTTGCTCCTCCAAAATTCCTAATATTGATGCCCTTGCTATTACTTTAAATACATAGGTGTAAAATGGCTATTGGAAGAAATATGAACTGGGAAAAATTAGGACACTTCCCAAATGATCGCTTTCCTTCCTTCATTTTATGGTCTTCTCTATCTTCTACCCTACCTATAAAGTAATATATGCTTAGTGTAAAATATTTTTCTTTGTCATTCCCACAATTAATGACATTTTGGTATATTTGGTATTTTATTAAATTTACTATTAAGTATGCTTTTATTATAAAAATATAAATATCAGAAACGTGTGGGTGGCTCAGTCAGTAAAGCGTCTGATTCTTGATTTCAGCTCAGGTCATTGTCTCACGGTTCATGGGATCGAGCCCCACGCATCGGGCTCTGTGTTGACAGAGCAGAATCTGTATGAGATTCTCTCTCCCTCTCTTCCCCTTCCTCCTGCCCCCCAGAAATAAACTTAAAAAAGGTATACACACACACACACATATAAATCAATTTCTTATTCCTTACTGTAGACACTATATATGTATATATATGCATGTATATATATAAATCAACTCCTTATTCCTTATTGTAGATGCCTAAAAGTGTTTTCATTTGTATCATATATCTGTACTATAATTAGCTAAATCTCCCATTCTTGAATATTTAGTTTGTCCTCCCCCATTTAGTTTGCTACTCAAACAATGCTGAACAAACACGTTTGCATATAAATAATTCTCTTTAGCTTCTTCCACTTCCCTTCCACATGAGGACTGCTAAAAGGGTAAAAACTTA